CCTTAACCCTCCATCATCAGTACAGCACACAAGGCCATCTGAAACCCCCTCCAAACTAAACGATGACCCCAGCAGATGTTATTATTGTCATCGATTTGGTCACAGAGCATAGAAATGGGGACATAATAAAAAACCTCCAGGTGAGCCACCTCTTAATATGCCTTTATTCGGTCATTGTTTGAAATCCCCGCTTATTCTTGAGGGTAAAATTCATGACGTGGACGTAACTTTTCTGGTTGACACCGAGGCTTCACCCTCTGTCGTCCGCACAAGTTTTTTCAGCGGTTGGGAGTCAGCCCTAAACCTCTCACCAGTCAGCCACAGTTAATTACCACCAACAGAGACCCTATCAAGGTAACTGAATCCGTCACCATTCCCGTGACTTTACATTGGTTCACCTGCAATCATTCTTTTGTCATGTGTGATGTTGTATGATGGGACGTCATGCCGGGTGTTGATTTCTTAAGCACTCAACACGTTGCCATTGACCTGGGTCGTTTTAGAATTCGGTCGCGGCACATAACCTCTCACTTTTTCGATCACTTATTCACAATCAATGTGCTCATGCCTGTACCATACCCCAGGTGACTACGGTGGACATCAACGCTAACTCCCACCTCAACTCAAAAGACCGTACCGACACTGGCCTTGCTATAAGGGTATAGAGACCTGTTTGACGATGGCCACGTTATGGGGCGGACTGGCGTTGTACAACACGAGATCAAGGCGGAGGATAACTTGCCATTTAGGATGCCACCTCGCAGGTGCCCGCTCATTATCAACAACTTTTGGACACAATGATAGCAGAAATGTTACAAAAGAAAGTGATTAAACCGTCTACTTCACCGGGGGCATCCCCTATCATCCTCGTGAAGAAGATGGATCTCTTCGTCTCTAAGCAGACTATCGTCGTCTAGTTGCAATCATATAACGAGGTTCTTTCCGCACACCTCTCATAGACGCTACACTAGATGTTTTGGATGACGCTCAGTAGTTCTCCACGTTAGACCTAGCTTCTGGCTATTGGTGGGTTGAACCTTTTCCTGAAGATCGACCAAAAACTGCCTTTGTCGTGCCTACAGGGTTGTATGAATTCGAAACCATGCCATTTGGCCTGTCTAATGCCCCGGCTACGTTTCAACAGCTCGTGCAGACAGTACTTGCAGGGTTAGTCCCTAAACGATGCCTCATTTACCTGAACGACATTGTCGTGTTCGGACAGTCCCTCAAAATAATAATAATCTGCTTTATTCCAAAAACAGTACTTATAATACAGAATGGAATTCCCAGCATTTGTCACAATATTGCATCTGATTTACTCAAAATGTAAATTAAGTTCAAAACTAAAACTAAATTACCGGATGAGTTTGTCCACATTTACGACATGAAGTCAAAAATATTCGAAGCACGAATTGAGATTATTAAATATAATAATAATAACAGTGAGTTTGTTTCAAACGGTATTGTCGATTCAGTTTGGAAACTTTAGCATGTTATAGATCATTGGATCTAATGTTCTCTTGAAATAGTATAGTGAGGGGAAATTAACAGTTATAATGCAGCTTAAATTATGTCCAAACTTATGAAAAAATAAACAAAACAAAAAAATGAGAAGATTATAAATATAAGAAATACAATAACAATAAAGTTCGATGCTTTAAGGGTGGAGGAAATGGTTTATTTAGTGGCGCAAAGAAGGTTAGTTAGTTCATGCCTAACACTATTTTCATCACATAAAGTAAGTGCCAAATATGGTATAATTGGAAGTTTTATACTTAGACGTACGTGTATAAATTCTTTTGAAAAGACTTCTTGTTTTACCTGAGGAGACATAAGGTTGGAGCTGCGGGTAGAGTGGGTGCTCAGAGTCTGACAAAATTGCTTTAGCAAATTTGTAGCATGACATCAATTGCCTATCATTGACAGTGTCAACGGTATGGCCCTATGGGATACCACTCGCCCTACTGACAGTCTTCAGAGATCTACGAAGTATGACATAGTCCTTTTTAAGCAATCCAGGAAAGAATAAGGGTGAACAGTAAGGAAGAATAGGTAAGATACACGAGTTGATAAACTGTAAGAAGAGTGGTTGAGTTATGCCTGAGCGCCTCAACTTCTTAATGTAAAAAGTCAAACGAAATATTCTTTTAGAAATCGCTAAGACATGAGAGGACCAGGATAAGTCAGAAGAGAGAATTAAACCAAGATACTTAACTTCAGACTTGGTTTCTATATCAGTATCATCGATTTTGCAAGGCTCATAGGAACCAACGGCTTCATTTAACTTTCGTTTACATCGGAAACTGAAATTAACAGTCTGACATTTGGAAGGATTAAGTTTAAGGCCGTTAGACGAAGACCATTTGCTAATTCCTGATAGAAAGTTGCTAATCTTAATGCAGTCAAGCTGAGAGTTAACAGACATTGAAATAATGAACGAAATATTCCCATATTGAATCATAAGGAAAAGGCCTTTTTCTTATGGCATTGAAACAGTTAGATCATTGGCATACTTAACAAAGTTCATTTCATCATCAGAGTGAGGCAAATCATGCAAGAAGAAAGAAAACAGAAAGGAAGAAAGGACAGCGCCTTGAGGGACACCAGACTCACTAAGCAATGAAGTGGACGACTTTCCCTGACAAACAGTATACTGCTTTCTTCCTGAGAATGGAGCCGTTTGACAACCCAGCAGTCAGTTTGAGTTTCAGCAAGCTTGTTTAACAAAATGTCTCTAGGTACTGAGTCGAAAGCAGATGTGTAATCTAGGAAGGTGCAGCGAACAAATTTAGCCCCCTTGTCTAAGCAAGAGACAATGTTATGATACAAGACTGCAACTGCATCTAAGGCACTTCGACTGTGTTTTTAGGTGAATTGTTTAGGATCGTTAAAGGCTTTAAGTGAAAGTTGAAGATTAAGTAAGAGCAACTTTTCCATAGCTTTTAGGAAAGGGGAAGTAAAAGCAATGGGTCTAAATTTAAAACATGTTGCAGTATACGACTTAGGTATAGGTATAATTTTAATGTCCCTCCAAACGTCTGACATGACATTTTGGGAAAAAGATTCGTTAAATACGTCCATGAGAGGATAACACAGGATGTCTGCACACTTTTTAAGAATAACACAAGGCAAACCGTCTGGAACCAGGCTACAAGAAAGGTTCAGATACTGGAGACATTTTAGAACATCATTTTTATTAAAACCAAGGAAGCAATTTTCATTAACACTTGTAACACTAGAAAGTTTGGCATTTGTGGGAGAATGTACGAAGGACTTGTTTAGTGTGCAAACATCAAGGGAATAAGGAATGCTGTTCATCTGCTTACCACCAGTAATTTCTTTGAAATGTTTCCATATGTTAGACGCATTTTTACAGGATATAAACTTTTGGTTGTAAACTGAATTCAACCTGTGCATTTCAGACTTTATCAGGATGTTAATTCTTTTCAAACCAGCATTATCCTTCATTTTATATGACTTTTCTTTTTGTCCGCGAAGCTTTCTAAGTTGAAGGGAGGAGAAACGATCAAATCTAATGAAGAGCGTTTCTCTGAGATAACAGGTGTCACGATAAAATTTGAGATAACTTGTATTATTAGAGATTGTGTCATCAAGCGGGTCCCACCTTGTGTCTTTGAGCATTCCTCTGAGATTCTGAACATTCTCCATAGAAATTTCATGCAACCGGTTCCCTTTATTAGTTTGAAGAGAGAAAGAACGAACATATTTGCAGGATAATACGAGCTCGTTTTATTTCGTGGATTCTCATCAACTGCATACATCCTAAACAAAATCAAATTATAGGTTTCAAGAAAGTTGTGGAACATACTTTTTCATAAATACTTTGAGTTATAGATAGAAGGCATAAGGAACATAATTCCAGAAATTGATGTAGGTAGACAGATTATTCGGTGTCAAAAAACAACTAATTATATATAGTGGAATTGGATAAGAGGGGTAAGAGTTCAGATTTCTATTGGAAAACAACACAGATTGGTTAGAGGCATATTACTCCATAGAGTAACATCCATGTACAGTCTTCTTGGAAAGATGTGAAATAGTTCTCTTGTGTAACTTTCCATAAATTTTAGGTAAAACACGTACAGTACGATGATCTGAGTTAAACAGTGGAGCTCTTTTACGAGATTCGTATATTCCGCAGTCATTTATAAATACAAGATCAAGAGAATTATCCAGTCTGGTGGGAAAGTTAACAACATTTTCATGACCTATCACTGTGAGAAAGCTGCCGTCACATGAATTAAAATCACTTGTCACTATGGACAGGGAATTACCAAAAGAGGCGGCAGCGTAAACAGTGAACTCATCAGCAAACATAGATAATTCTGAAGTGCTACAACAAGGTGTGATATAAATATTTGTGATACAAAAGAATTTATATCTAGATAGGTGTTTAGGTCGACATTTGACAGTTATACAGTCAATATTATCATTTGAGAATTTAAAACAGACGTTGTTGGCAACAGACCACTGAGAATTGATAAAAGTAGAAACACCACCACCTCGCTCCATCCTTGAACTACTTCGGTCTTGTCTTTACATACTGAAACCATTCAGTAAGATTGAATTATCATCATATAAGTCGTGTAGCCAAGTTTCATGAAGCGTTATTACACCTGTATTACGGTAGATATTTGTTATAATATCTCATCTGAGAAATTAATCTTGTTTGATAATGACCTGCGATTTTTGCTCATAATCACAGGAACAGTCATCTGATGCATTGCAGTACACTTTAAGGATCTTTGCCACCCACCATGATGCTTTTTCTTAAGGTTATCATATCCTCGTAATTCATCCAGTTGAAAACATTTTTAATAATCGCGAGAGTAAGTAATACGATTTGGACACATAACTGAATAATTAAAACAGAATAAATTCAAGTAATCAGATGCAATATAAGTGACGGAAAATTTTGGTAGCCCAAGGTTCAAGCATGCCACCTGAAAAGACACTATGCCAACTTACTCTAGCGGTACGTTCAACGTTTGCGTTACATTTTAGCTTGATTCGCTATATATTTCTATTTTAACTGTGAGACTCGCACAAGTGTTTCTCCAGTTCCATAAATTTAACCAATAACTCTTTCACTAATTAGTTATGGTTAGTCATACAAAAAAGCCACGAACTCAGTCACCTGTCAACGTGATGACTAATAGTATAAATATGCTCGCAACGACGAGCAGCACAACTCCCACAAAGTATGGAAATGAGGCACACAGCTTTCCAATACGCCGCAAGCGTCGAGCTGCCGGTTCACTACCATCTACTGTGGCTGAAACTGAGGGCGAAAACTTGCTGACAAACAGCAGTAGCAACGCTTCTACAAACTCAGCACTTGGTCCTGACATAAACCTCTTCACTTCACCCTATGTACGTGTCACAAAACTTCAGATTCCAAGTCCAGCTCCAAAACTTACTTCAGAAATAGAACGACTAAAGCTGGCTGTAGAAGAACTGAAGACTGAGATGCGGGACATAAGGTGTAGAAAAGATATGAATGCAGGATTTTCAGAAAATTTGGCCAACTTATCTGAACTATCAACACAGGTTGGTGATATAAAATCACAGGTCTGTGAACTTGCCCCTCTGAACATCTTGACTAAGACCATAAACCCTGGCGAACTTGACACAGAATCAGTATCTAAGATAGACACCTTGATAAACTTCATCACAACAGAGGTTATCAAAAGACTTGATACTAAACTAAGTGTGATTGTCTACAATATACCGGATAATGAGGGGTTGAAAAAGGTTCAAAGCATCTTACTTAGGGCGGCGAAAATGCCTAACTCCCAAACAAAATGTCACAGACTGAAGAAGAGTCAGCACGACCACTGCTGTCCTATACGCCTTCAGTTCGAAACGCAGACAGAGGCTAAAAAATTCACCAACACACAACGTATCCTATTACAGGACACAAGCTACAAACAGGTAAAAGTTGTAGCAGACAAGACAGTGATTGAAAGGCGTGCTTACAATCACCTTAATAAACCAAATGGCAGGACACCTCAAGCCACTAAAATAGATATACACACTACCAACACGGTAGAACTCATAGCTTCCCCCCTAACTAATCCCGTAAAAATAGCTCCAGAGAAAATGAAACCAAACGAAAGACTTGTGAGCTATAGTCTTACTCCTAAAGTAACCTCTCCTCCCTCTACGGTGGATCTAGATATGTCTATGGACAGCCATAAGATGGTAATCAATCCCTCTTGTAAGCTGACAACATCCTCTCTTAACCAAAACGTGACAACGCAAATGGAACTCGGTAACAAAACAGGCCGAAATACGCCACTTGTTGCGAAGATTCCCCAACATATTCAGACTCCCAAGAATATCCCACGCTTTAAGGTAAATAATATTCAAAACCATGCTAGCAACCAAACTAAAAACAAAAATAAGGACATAGAGCCCAAGGACAACAACGACACAACCTACTTGCATACTGTGCCAAGTCACACTGGTAGCTGGTGTAGTGACGCTATCACGCAATTGGAATTGAGACGCTACATTTTCGTTCTAATTCTTTCAAACCGTATACAAACTATTTACACACAATTTTTACCGGAAACTGTTAAATTTTCACATTCTACACATAAGAATACTTGTGAGAGACTATTTTTCCTTGGAAGTATTATATAAACTCTGTTATCACTGACCCTGCCATCTGCAGGTTTTGGATGTATATTTTATGGGATATATCTGGTTCAATTTGGTGAGTCTGTGCAATTTTTCGAAGTTTTGCGTGTTATATTATCTATTCAGTGCCATATCTATAGTTCTGATTTTTTTCTAACGAACTCCACCCTTGACTGAAGTTTCCCCCTTTTAAGTATCTATTATTCTAATAGGAGGATTGTTATCTGTTAATAGTTGTCGATTTTGTTCTTAATAGTTTATTTTTATTGACTTAGTGTTGATTATACTGGAAATCTGACGTTTTCATCACCAGTCGTCTCAATTGTGTGACAGTCCGAATCTACCTTAAACCCTGATTTTCGGAATTTACTTTTTCGTTAGTTTCATCTGAACTCTAGCTTATTTCTCCATTATTTTTGACACGGTGTTACCAGTCGTCAGACTTGTTCTTTTCATATACTTTTTACCAAGGAATTCCTTCAACTTACGATTTTTGCTAATTAACTTCCAGTATCTGACTGAAAAACGGTGAATTTCCACTATTTTCACCTATTATTTCTTTTTGGTCTAACTCTAACTTTCTGAAATTGTAATAATCGGTTGCAGCTCGCCGAACTGAATCTTTTGATACCTATTTTATCCTCATTATTTGCCCATTTCTCTTCCAAATCATTTTGTTTTTGGTACTTTTAGCCACTTCGGCCGAAAAAGTACTTTATACTCAACAAAGGATTTTCTGATCTAGTGACAGTGACAACACCGGTCCTTGTTTTTAATCTCCCTTGGTCTATGTTGTAAGACCGAGGCCACTTTTTGTCTCGTCATTACCTTTCTATTTCCATCCACGAGACCTTTTTCCACTTTTGCTCATAATACCACCTATAATATTTCTGATTTATTCAGTCTTCTTGTTCTCTGTCCAAATATTTCCATCATGAACCATCCAAAACAACTTCTTTCATCATTCTTCACCCTGTAGACTGAGAAGCCTCATACTCCTATCGCCTGTGTAAAAGTTGTGAGCCTCCCCCTCTTCGCATAGTATCCCCTTAACAGGAGAGTTCTGCTGCCTCCTTCCAAAGCTAAACTTGTACATACATCTCAGATTCCAAATCGTCAACACTATTTCTTTATTTTTACAAAAAACCCGTAGCTTTTTGCTTTCTCCCAAACTTTTTAACGGGGGATAGCTTTCGACCACATTTTAGCAACCTTTAAAAATATTGTGCTCCTCCCCCTGTTTGTCTAATTGTACCTTCGTCCCTTTCACCCCTCTGAGCCTCTGACCTAATTTCCATAAATCTACACTGTCTATTCTCTGTACATCTTCAAATTTCACCACATCCTTCTGTAGCTTCTATTCCTAATAGGCCCTATTATTCTCAACTTTCGTTAATTTTGCTCTGGAAATTTACGCAGTTTTCCAAGTTTACGTTGAAATATCTCCTCGTTGTCTTCAACATATTCTGATCACTCTGCGGTTTTTCGTAGTACTCTCAGCGCTCTGTCATTCCCAGCAAACCGCTTTGTCCTGGCTTTTTTCTGCTTTTCGGTATTTGTTTTCAAACTTGCTACTGAGACCAATATTTTATGCCTCAGGCACGAACTTTCAGTCATTCTCAGTTGCTGTAATTTTGCTGTCTTTTGTGCATTGACCGAAATTCAGCCAAAATCCGTTTCCACAGGCTCTATTCACTTTTTATCGATCGCGAGCTAAGCTACTAATCAGCCACTCTGATTGGTGGGCACGCCTATACTACCTGCTTGTATGCTGGTGTATAGGTGTATGGTGTTCTTCTTGAATATTTTGTTTGTCTTTATTTTTTTCGGCCTGGGCTTTTTCTTTGCTGGTTCCCGACGACCCTCCCAAGGTTTCTCGGCACGAGGAATCGACTCGTGCAATTCTTATCACCATAGCACCCATCGTTCTCGAGTTGGCTTTGGGAGTGGCCTTTTTGTGTATTTCCTTCTGTACCCGCGTAATTCTTTATTCTTACAGATTCTGAAGTTGATCTTGGTATAATTGTACTCCTCCCGTCGAAACCTGTCGGTTGATACCCATATCAATAGCCCATCTCCTGTAGTTTCTGTGATTCTGTAACTCATCAACTTTCCCATTACGTCATCCCGCCCCACCCATCTATCAAATTTGAACCCCTGTAACTTCTGCACCCTTTTACTTTCACCCCCCGTGTTTGTACTCATTCAGCTCGTCTCTTCAAGTCCTATCGATTGAAAGCTATATTATCATCCCATCTTCCATAGTCTTCGTCTTTAAAAGTAACCACTCTCCACTACGTCATCCCCACCTCTATTTCGCTGGCTATTTCGCATCGCTGTAACTTTCACATTTCTTCCTCTTTTACCGTTGTTCTTGGCATCTTTCGACTCCTCTCATTGAGATCTGTAGTTTGATACCCATTTTGAAGCCGTATCTCTGACAGTTTTGACTTTTGATTATCGACATCCTCCCATTGCCTCATCATCATACTCATTTCGTTGCCTTTCTCGAAGTGTTGTAACTGCCACATTTCTTCACCTCTTCCGTTGTTCTAGGTATTTCTCGACTCTTGTCTCCGTGCTCCTTTGTTCGATAGTCATTCTCACGCTGCATCTCCTTCTTATTGTTTTCGAAAGAGGACTCTTTCATATCACCTCCTCCCCATTCATTTTCGGCTTCCGTTCTTTTTGCTTCAATCCCAAAGTGATTACGTGGAATATCGTATAACAGTACCTTTCTTTTCGTTTGTTTTTATTTCTGTTTTGTTTCGTTTTTGTTTGCTTTGTTTGATTTTGGTTTAACCATTTGTCAAGCCACGGGTGAGGGCCTATGAACGGTCCGTGGCACAACTAACAGTCCATCGTTGGTTGTCCTCCAAACTCGAGCCTGCGATACCGCAATCTCCAGTCATGTCAGCTATGTCAAGCCAACCCTCATCACAATCCATGGCCTCTGCCATGATTCAAGCTGACCCTCAAACAACAGACTCCAATTCTCCTTCCTTCATCTCCCAATTGCCAGCAGCTCATCCTTCGCCCCTCACATCCAATCCGTCATCACCTCACTCCATGCGGTCCAATCAATCCCTATCCTCAATCGTATCTCCAAGATTCCTGTGTATATACTGTCCTTCAAACTTCGCTTCTCCGAGAGGTTTGACGCAACATCTGCGTCAAATCCACCCCGCCGAATACAATGAGGTCCTTCTCGGTCGCCTCCTCAACGACTGTCGAACACGACGAAATTGGTCCCAAAATGAAGAACTCACTTTACTGATGTTAGCAGATGCAGCAGTCGACCGATTCAACAGCAAAGCTGAACTGTATCAACACTTACACGACCATCTGCCACATCGCTCAGTTGAAGCCATCAGACGCCGTCTACAAACGCTCAAATGGTTAACATTTGTCCCATCATCTTCACGCTCCGCATCAACCATTGACTCCTACTCGATGCCATCCTCACCTGCATCATCACATGAAAACTATGCTATTAGATCAGCACTGTATGTACGTCCAAGAACTCAAACCTGGTCCACTCAAGAAGATGCTCGATTGATCTCAACGGCCAAATGTCTCGATTCACCTTTACTTGCGCCTATACAGTTCTTCGCTCTTGTCGCCGAAGCCGTTGGCAACCGCACCACTAATGCAGTTAGACTACGTCTAGCCAGGCTAAAATGGAGACGTACACACAACCCATCTCTGCCAACAATAGTCCTAACTCCAAATACGTCTTATCTCCAAATTCAGCCAGTTACCTCGCTCACTGATACGTTCACCGTCAACAGATCAATCTCTGCTCCTATAAGTCCATGCAGAGCAACTTCAGATCCAGCTATCACGATCTCATCGAATTCCTGTACGCCAACTCAGCTAGAAGAACAGCGATCCCTCCAATTGGCTGTCATTAATAATGATTGCACTGTAAGCGAGGAGTCCACCCAACCAATGCGAATACCGCAGTACCACTATGCAATAAGTACTGTCGATAGAACAATTTTATATTCTCCCACTGCTGTGACAATGATCCGTCCACTTCTGCCAACTACTCGACTCACTCAAGATGGTTCAAGTCCCCTGGTGAATCTGCCACTTCATAGAAGCCTCAACGTGGACAATATACACGCTAACCTCCTGGCTGCCATCAGCACACAACTGGCAAATTCATCTCAGCGGCTGGACACTGAATCAACTCGACAAATTATTATGCAACTATATGCGAATGATATTACTCTTGAGGAGACACG